ATCTTCTAATACCCCTGAAATTCCAGTCGAATTCCTTTCTACGACTCTGCTCTGAATTACTGATGCAACACGAGTGCTACGAGGATATCAAAAAGTTACGGTACAATTTATATATGTCTTTATGACCTATCATACTGTGGGAACCCGGTGGTGATCCATATAAATTATTCATTTATGGTCGCAATTAGTTCGTTAATATATGGTGGACAATATTGTATTTAATAATGTTGACTGTCGAACGATATAAACAGAAGTTCACTGAATATGGTCGATTCGGGTTGTGACATGTAGAACCATGATTTTTGACATTGACCGCAATGATTTCTCGTACTGGAAAACAACTACTTCCTCGGCTGATACCTCGGTGGACATTGCGTTCTTTCCGACAAGTATTTATGCATGCTACCTCTAAAATAGTCTCACGAAGCTAGATCTGGTAAGTGAGGTGGATGTTCCAATACAGAGTTTCTATGCTTGGCCAAAAACGATTCAACAATCAATGAAGTGTGGGCTAGAGCATTGTCCTGATGCAGCGTTTATGACCCGTTCTTTCACAAGTCTGATCGATTCCTTCTCACTCCTGTAAGGAAAGTTGCTAGAACTTACAGGTAATATTCTTCATTTAGTCATGGATGTCAAAAATAATGATCAACGTAGCCCTGCATTTCGATTTGCACGCTCGAGCTATCTTCAGTCATGGTGACTGGGCATTGGTTGGTGCTTAGTTTCTGGGTGAAAGGTAACACCATTATACCCTTGAAACAAATATACAATCCAAACAGTGGACTGCAAAGGGGGAACTGCCACAGCTTCTAATTTTTGAAATAGTCATGGATTTATCTCAATGGATTATCTTCAAAGAGAAAACACCGTCTGAAAAGCATACTACGCATTATTACTTGACAAACTGGGGAAGAATTCGCAAAAAACGGCCACATTTGCAGAAAAAGAAAACTCTGTTCCACCAAAACAACTCACCGTTTCACACCTCAGCGGTTTTCATGGCGAAAATCTACGAGTTACGGTTTGAACTGCTTGACCGTCCCCCTAATTCACCAGATCTAACCCCAAGAGACTCATTTCTCTCATCTGAAAATTGCTCTCTTGCTCTCGGAGAATAGAGAGATGGTTGTCAAATGCAGTGACAATCACCTTCTTGAACAATTATTTTTCTGTGAAAATCGCCGAGTGATATTTGGACGGGTTACAGAGGAAGTAGCATCGCTGGGAGAAGTGTGTAGCCTAAAAAGGAGACAATGTTGAAGGATAAAGAAAAGAAATTGAAAAAATGTCTTGTTAGGTCGGAAATTTCTCATATCACCTTCATATTCATGTGAAATTTGTCTGTTTCTTTGTCGATGGCTACAACTTTGGTTACTGCACGAATACTCGAATGAAGATCTTGACGAATAGAGTCGTCTATTACTCTCAAACCGTTGCGCAATTGAAACAAATCTCATTTTTCCGACAAGTGGCAGGTCCATGGTCGGTCACGACTATAGCTGAGCAAGCTGCTGTAGTTCAACTGGCTGGACTGTGGAAGGGATATGTGAGGCGACTCGTCAATATGGCATTCAATTGAAGAAAACTGGCCGACACTTGAGAATGATTGAATTGAAGAAAGTCAGCATCGGCTTTGTAGTATTTTAAGTTACTCCTGAAGGGTTCAATTTTGAACCAAAGCATTTAGTTTTTCAACCAATGTTTAAAAGAAGAAATATTTCCGAAATTCATCCAATTGAAGACCAGATTGCAGATTGTTATGCTTCTACCAGAAATTCCTTTCCTGGTTATTTTTTTTGAGGCGATTGAGATACCAGCCAGTTCTGTTTGGACCACGCTGCTATTTTTTCCCATTGCCCACTTAATCCTTAGGCTTAGTGATCTGGAGTACACTCCACCTCCACTCCACCACCACCACCTCCACTCCTGAGCCTTCTTTGGTTTTTGAGCCGACTCTATATATGCGTATTGCATTTGTAGCATCTGTATTTTGGTTGCAGCAAAGGTTGCAGCTTGCAGCAAAGGCTGCGCAGTCCAGAGGGGTCAGACCCTAATTAATTCCTTTGTTCAAACAAGCCAGTTGCTGTATTTGATATAATTTTTGGATGGCCGTTGCTTATGGAACTTTCGGTTCCCATACAATGGCTCTGTACGTTAACATAGGTCTTATTATTGTAGATACAGGTGACCACACGGTCACCTGGATCTACACTGAAAGACCCCATGCGTGTCCCACTGTCCTCCAACATTACTTATAAGCTTATGGTATTATACATTGAAAGTTTTTGAAGCAGAGAAAGAAATTAGATGTCTCATTTCGGAACAGACCACCGAAGAAACAGACCACAAACGATTAAATATTTTGGCAACAAATGAGTTTTAATATGGCATTCGACCTTGAGGCTTGCATTCCCGTTATTTTCTAGCCACCCCTCGTAATCGCAAACTAAAAAAGTCAACATGGACTACTGCAAGTAAAAATGAATGGACCACAATTGTCGAGCTGTGGTTACATAAATCAAAAGAGCACGAAAGTACGTTTCCGTATGCGATTCCGGGTTTGAATTTCAACTAATAACAGCCTCCGCAGTAATGTGCACGCTCGGGAATTCCAAATGGCTCTATTCAGGTTCAGTCTCATAATATATTCATGGTCAGAATTGATTTATTCGCTGTAATAAAGAAGCCGCGTCATAATATTTATTCGACGGAGCGAGTCGGCTAGCATGGACCACTTTCCGAAGAAAATGGGAGAAAAATAAACTGAATAAGAAATGTGCATATTTGACAGTTTTTCCATGATCGAAAAAAATTGGCCATAGTGATACCACGTACATCAGAATGAGACTTCGCAATGGTGTAAGACTGAAAGTTTGTGAGCCCGGAAAAGTCTGGAATTTACAAAATGAGCTGTAAGAATTGCCTCAATAAGTATGTTGGTCAAACAGGGCGTGTCACAGTAACTCATTACAAGGAACATAATCAGATATTACCTAGTTCTATGTGCTTTCATCCGTTTACCCATCTCCTTACTTCTTCGGAGCTCTTATTACTGACGTTTGACGAAGCCCCATTTTCACAATGGATATGTCAGGTACTTATATGTTGCAATTCGGATTGTTTTCTCTCTGTACTGCATTGCCGCTCTTATTTCTTTTCGAAAATACAGGATTCCGTTCTAGAAAGCCCCGTTAGTATTCTAGAAAAACATATCTTCAGAAATATTATTCTTCACCACATCTAATTCTACCCAGCTTTAACTGTAACGCAGACTGCGATTCTAAGAATTGCATTTACCGGATTACTTCGTGAGTGCGGCAAATCCCACATCAGTGAAAATGGAAGGCCATTCAAAGACCGCATCGCCGATCACAAAAGAGATACACAGCGAGAAAAAACCAACAAATTGAAAATAGCAGAGTATGTTTGGACTGATATCAACCACAGAGAAGAACACTGGGTTGAGAGAAAGTTCAAAGAAGCTGCATATATGCTGTGAACCATCGGTGAACCGTCAGGATGAATAGACCTCTGAAGAAGCCAGTCACTCCTGCTGGCAAAACGTTAGGATACAGTTCCAAACCACGACGGCCTTCAAACTCGAACGAAGATCGTAACACTGTTCCCCAGATTGTTTGTAAAAAGATGGAGTTGTAGAAAGTCGAAAACTGTTTTTCCAGAAAAAGATTTAAGTAGATTCTCCAGAGGTATATATCACGCTGTAATTTTTTCGGGACGTTTAAAATCATCAGAGAACAACCTGCTACCAAATCCTCTACCACAAATATGTTCCTAGTGGTTTATCCTCCGCGTGTCTCACCCTGTATGCAATTAATCTCAGAGACAGAAACTTTGAGAACTTCAACAGTGCTCAGAACAGGCCTCGCAGAGAACGAATCAACTAGAGTATAGATATTTGGCTTGAGTGTGGTGTCTACCTTAGTTTGGACATAACTCCCAACTCACTTTGAAGTTTCGAGTGGTGATAAAGAACTTTGGCGAGTAACTTGTACAGGTCGTAGGGGTCCAGAGTTGGAAAGTGAGGGAGGCTGCGGCAGAAGTCAATACATAATTTGAGAGCATGGGTTGAAGTGGATTATATTCATCAAGGAATGAGGAGGAATCTATTATCATCCATTTGTAGGATAACAAAGAATAAATTTCAATTTTCCTCGTACTGGAAATGTATGACTCATGTTTCAGTTGATTACTATCTTCAAATTGAACGTTCAACATTCAATTTCTCAATAATGAATGAACCAGCTTCTGAAAAAATTACAGAAGTCATAGAGGGACGACAGATTTTTCAAATGATGTATCACCCATTGAACAAAATAGGGGGGGTAACTGTATGTAAGTCATTTCAAAGTTTTCGTTACTATGGATACTAGTAAAGCTGGATGATAGTGTTGATGGGCTACAAATACAGGAACGATAGCCCAAAGTGATGTTTTGACATCCGCAAATGAACTCCATTGAAAGTTACACCCTGCCTCGAATGATAAATTTCCACCTATCACTTCCACAAATTGTCACAACATACATCCAGCTAGGAATTCCTTACGAAAACATTACTTCGTTTACGACTTGCTTTCGTCGGATGTTTTGCCATGCCTCTATGATCTACTCCAACAAATCTCGTAAACGAATGTGAACGTGCTTGACAAAGAGACCAGCAGATTTATATCTTGTGACGGCGACTCGAATTCACCCTTGTTTATAAATAAGTCTCATTAAATATTAAAATTCAGGCCACCAGAAGTATGACCTAGCAAGACTTTTCATTTTTACCACTCCTAAATGAGATAACTGGAGATTATTCAAAATATTTTCTCTCAAAATAAAAGGAATAACTAACCGGTTGTTCCACACTAAGCAATCATTGTCCACACTAAGTTCGTTCCTAATTCTATGATACGGTTTCAAAGAATCTATTATCTTCCCTGGCCATCCTTTTTAGCCTTTTTGTTCTGTGTTAACGTTAACTTCTTTTTTAGGTGTACCAAATAGCTTACGTCATCGTAAAAATGGCCAATTCTCCCAGGCCAGGAACGTGGATTCTGGAACGCTCGGTAGATGGAAAGAACTTCAGCCCCTGGCAGTTCTTTGCTAGAAGCGACAAGGAATGTTTCGAAAAGTTCGGGATTGAAGCAACCAAAGGAAAACCCCAGTATTTTACAGATACTGAAGTTATATGTACTTCATATTATTCTCGAATGACACCTTTGGAAAATGGAGAGGTGAGTCAACAAAAAATTGGGAAAGTTCGTTGGAGTTATTAATTATTCATGTTTATCCGTAGAAAGAATCTATTAATATTCGTGACTATTATCATCCCCTCTGTTCAGTTAGACTTCTCATTTAGGGGTAGTTAGCTAAAAATCACTGACGATACCTATGGCGGGTTTGAAAATCAGATTCTGAATGTAAGGAAAGTGAATGAAATACATATGAGAACATATTACAGAAAATGGAAACAATTTCTGTATATATGACATATTTTTTTGTAAAGAGATTATTCTAGTTTTCCAAAATGGGAAATTTGTCCAATTCAAACGATATTGACGACCTGTATAAGCTTGATGTATCAAAAAATGGCGAATTATTATATTCACAAACTTTTCCTACACCTGAAACGTGATGAAGAAAATCGGTTCAGTTCTTACCCAGTGGATAACAAAAAATGTTTATCTTTTGCAGGAAAACAAAGTGACTGCACGAAGCGAGTATGGTAATAACTCAATATGAAACCTCGTTAATTATTAATATCGAGTCATGACAACTAGCTTTTAAATGCACAACAATTTAGCGCGGGTATTGATATGATCCAATAATATTGATAATGGCAACTTCAAAATTAACATATCATTACGTTCCGCATCGCTGATATCAAGTTCATCCAACCATTAACGAAATTAGTATAGACGAAGAATGTGAGTCAAAAGTAATGCATGCTCTTCGAGAATTTCATAATCCTTTGTAATAAAGTTGCATGCATGGTTGTTGATTTCAAAAGGTTTTTTTTCGTCAATGAACTGAATCGTCAATGTCAGTAACGGAAAAGTTTCTGTCATTCTAATGTTGAGCTCTACGTATCACCTTGAAGTTAGTATCCATCATCTAGAAGGTGAACGACATTTGGTAGTAGGTGCCCTGTAGTCTAGCCAACAGGACCACCAGATCTCAATCCCATTGTATTTTCTTCGAAGGAAATCAATGGGAACTGCAGGCAAGCACAACTTTTGAGTACGTCTGTAGATGGAAAATCAAAGAGCCGCTGAATCTTATACTTTCATGAACGCTTACGCAGTACACACCTGCTGTTAAAAGTTCTTCACAGTGAAGCTCAATCTGTTGAGTCGCCTCTTTATCAATTAACACTACATTTTCCAGATTGTTCCGGACTCTCGTATCCGCATTCTTATACAAATGTCTTGGGGAATGCTTCGAAGGACATGGATCTAATGAGAAATAATGACACAAAGAAGTATGAAGTTGATGCAAAGAAAAATTATTCACACTGAATGAATACCAAACAAAAAGAATCGTGTATTCTTAGAAACAGAAAAAATCAGGAGGTCAAATATATCTCCAGTCCTACCACCTGGTGATGACTGATTTGAAAGCATCATCATGATAAAGACCACTATTTCTAACAACCATCAAGGTCCTGCCAATGACAGTTTACTTATTTCAGAGTCCATTCTTCACTCCTCCATGAAAAACCCACCTGCAATCGTCTTCCGGAAATTTACATCGTGAAAAAAAGTTGCTGTATCTTTATTTTCCTGAAAAGAGAAACCAAAAAAAAATTGAACAAAGCCTAGGAAGAGCAACAGAAACCAATTTCAATTCGTTCAAGTTCTTCACGCTTCTGTCGTTCCATGACGGGTTCTTCTTCTCTCTTCTTCGAACGGAAAGAATGACTGCAGCAATTTATAACAATCACGAGAGAATTCAATCTTGCTTCGATTACCGATTCTCCGTGGCAATTTAAGAGACCGACTGTGAAGATGTGAATTCACTACAACATTTTTTCATATAAATTGACTCAGTTTGTTGCTCGTTGATACGTAATAATGACGTTTGATTGATCGTTCGCCATCTGGACTGACGATTCGAAAGCTCAATCGCTGGGGCAAAAAAAAAGAAATTTCTTCCGTGTTTCGAAAGTTTACTTCAATTTATTTTGACTCCAAGTGGTATGAGTATTTTGAAACCAACTAGTTTTTATTAGGAAGAAATGAAGCCAAATTGATTTTTTTCAGCTAGTATTTCAATTTATTTTTCTCCTATTCAATAGCGGGAATTTCCGCTTGAAATACAGTCGCTTAGGTTCGTAGGCAGGTTGATATTTCTGTCTTGAGTCTGTCCTAGACACCACTTTTATTTGTAACTGCAGTAACGTTAGTTACGAATGAAAGTGTTGACAAAACCTAGGAAGTTTCATTTTCCATGTAACAAAAAAATGGCAAGGAACACCATAAGTATTCCAAGAAAATTTTGCATCAATCATTTCATCATGAGATATATTTTCTGTTTCATTCACCATAAAAATTGTGTAATGTACCTCATGGGTTTGATTCAACTCAAAGTTCAGTGCCTGTTTCAACTGATAAAATTTATCTTTTACCGAATTTGATCTGACTTTGGGTTTAATCCTGCAAGTATTTAGTGATTTCTCTACAAAACTGTGTCCCTCCACACATAGTCATCCCCTCTACTTTCAGATTCACACCTCCCTCATCCACGGCCGGCCCGGAGCCAACGAAACCAGCCCGGAGCTCCTGGAGTTTACCAAAGCCCGCTACGTCCGCCTCAGCCTGATGGGCTTGAGAGGTACACAGGAGCCGCTTCCCCGCTGGCTTTTGCAGGATGTCTGGAAGGACAAGAAACTCTTCTACGCGATCAGAGATATCAGTGTCGGCGGTCAGTGTGTCTGCAACGGACACGCCGAAAATTGCAGGCATAATGTCGCTTCAGGGGTGAGTATGCTGCTTTGAGGGTTGTTTTCGTTTAGTTAGAGTTCGCTGTTTTGCCTCATGAACATCCGTAGGGGTAATAGATGTTAGTTTTGAATACAGTGGTTTTATATTTTCATAATCAGTTAGGCAGAAACAATTATTACTCATGTTTAGACATTATTGCTTTTGTCAGGGTTACAATTATATTCAGCCAGCTAGAAATGTGGTCGTGAGAATGGAGCATTGCATGAATTAGTTCGAGCGAGTAATGCCCATTCCTCGCGAGTAGAAAACTATACTTTTTCTATTGATCATAACAGGAATATTTCAAAATGAGATCCACACTCGTTATTACTATTGTTTTCCATTTCAAATTGTATATTTTCGAATAGAACGGTCATGTCAGTGATTATATTTGGCATTTGTGGACATATTCTGAAGTAGAGAAATTCTCACGGCTAAAAAAATGATTGTATCACCACTATATTGTTATGAGTTTGCTCATCTATGGTTGGGTTTGTAGGTACTGAGTTATGATATGGTCAACTATGATTGGGCTCGAAAATAGAGAGTTTGGATCTCGTTAACTATTATCAAGCTTAAAGGCAGTGAGTTATGATTTGATCAACTATGATTGAGCTCGAAAATAGAGAGTTATGATCAAGCTTGGAGGCAGTGAGCTATGATTTGATCAACTATGATTGGGCTCGGAAATAGAGAGTCAGGATCTGGTTAACTATGATCAAGCTTGAAGGCAGTGAGTTACGATTTGATCAACTGAGATTGACCTCGAAAATAGAGAGTTATGATCAAGCTTGAAGGCAGTGAGTTATGATTTGATCAACTGAGATTGGGCTCGACGGTAGTGATTTATGATATGTTCAACTATGATTGGGCTCGAAAATAGAAAAGTGAGATCTGGTTAACTATGATCAAGCTTGAAGTCAGTGAGTTATGGTTTGATCAACTATGATTGGGCTTGACATTAGTGAGTTACGATATGGTCAACTATAATTGGGCTCGAAAATAGAGAGTTAGGATCTGGTTAACTATGATCAAGCTTGAAGGCAGTGAGTTATGATTTGATCAACTGAGATTGGGCTCGACGGTAGTGATTTATGATATGTTCAACTATGATTGGGCTCGAAAATAGAGAGTTTGGATCTGGTTAACTATTATCAAGCTTGAAGGCAGTGAGTTATGATTTGATCAACTATGATTGAGCTCGAAAATAGAGAGTTATGATCAAGCTTGGAGGCAGTGAGCTATGATTTGATCAACTATGATTGGGCTCGGAAATAGAGAGTCAGGATCTGGTTAACTATGATCAAGCTTGAAGGCAGTGAGTTATGATTTGATCAACTGAGATTGGGCTCGACGGTAGTGATTTATGATATGTTCAACTATGATTGGGCTCGAAAATAGAAAAATGGGATCTGGTTAACTATGATCAAGCTTGAAGGCAGTGAGTTATGATTTGATCAACTAAGATTGGGCTCGACGGTAGTGAGTTATGATATGATCAACTATGATTGGGCTCGAAAATAGAGAGTTAGGATCTGGTTAACTATGATCAAGCTCGAAGACAGTGAGTTATGATATTGTCATGTGTGATTGGGCTCGAAAATAGAGAGTTAGAATCTGGTTAACTATGAAGAAGCTCGAATTGATGATATGGTCAAGTATGATTGGGCTCGAAAATAGAGATTCAGGATCTGGTTAACTATGATCAAGCTCGAAGACAGTGAGTTATGGTTTGATCAACTATGATTGGGCTCGACGTTAGTGAGTTACGATATGGTCAACTATAATTGGGGTCGAATGTAGTGAGTTATGATATGGTCAACAATGATTGGGCTCGAAAATAGAGAGTTTGGATCTGGTTAACTATGATCAAGCTTGAAGGCAGTGAGTTATGATATGGTCAACTATAATTGGGCTCGAAAATATAGAGTTTGGATCTGGTTAACTATGATCAAGCTCGAAGGCAGTGAGTTGTGATATTGTCAAGTATGATTGGGCTCGAAAATAGAGAGTTAGAATCTGGTTAACTATAATCAAGCTCGAATTAATGATATGGTCAAGTATGATTGGGCTCGAAAATAGAGATTTAGGATCTGGTTAACTATGATCAAGCTTGAAGGCAGTGAGTTATGATGTGGTCAACTATAATTGGGCTCGAAAATAGAGAGTTTGGATCTGGTTAACTATGATCAAGCTCGAAGACAGTGAGTTATGGTTTGATCAACTATGATTGGGCTCGACTTTAGTGAGTTACGAAATGGTTAACTATGATTGGGCTCGAAAATAGATAGTTATAATCCTGTTAACTACGATCAAGCTTGAAGGCAGTGAGTTACGATATATTCGGAAGTAGTGAGTTATGATCTAGTCAACTGTGATCGGCCTCAAAGACAGTGAGTTATGATCTGATCAACTATGATTTGTTTGAAGGTGTGAGTGATGGAAGCATTGCCTACTAACTCGTCATATAATTGAGACACTGTTTTCAATAGTTATAGAAAAAGTTATATAAAAAATTCTTCAGTTCCTAACCCAACAGGGCTTTCACTGACACCATCATTGCCAAATGCCTGGCTGCATTTTCTGCAGAAAATGGCAAAAAACGGTGGAAAAAAATTGGTAAAAAATTGCTCAACAACATCATATAGTGATAAGCTAAAGATAGTCAAGATATTTAAATTTAGAAAAAAAATTAACAGTATCAATGTATACAGTGCAAAATTATCACAGTAGAATAAACATTTATCGAGATATGGAGTTGTAAAACATGTGACAATAAAAGGAACAAAACACTTGAATCAACCTTAATGGTGAATATCCCAAAGACAAAGACAGATCCACTTATAATAGTGTTCGAAATATCTCAAATCGCGAACGATGTCCTTCGACATTTTTTTCGCTCGGTTTGTCAATTTAATAGGTACGGAGCGAAATTTCATCAGTAAAAAGCGGCAGCAGACATACCATATAAGCCGATCGCAGCGCCATGCCTTTCCGAGAACAGCCCGACTCGATCTTTATTTGGTATTATTCGATAGTTATCGTGTGGGAAAGCCATCAATCCAGGGGTTTCCTCCGCAAAGCATCGCCATAATTGTTGCTTGATAAACATGAGAATCTGCCTATGCCGCAAAAGGTAAATAGACTTTTTTAACTCATTTGGGTACTGCGGGGCTGCTTGATTTATTATGGTGGCATTGTTCGAATATGAATTCCACGTGAGGAGGACTGACTGGTTTGATGGTTGTTCAAATAGTTCCCTACGAAGGGACTGTGCTCTTTCCCCATTTCCTCATTTGGTAATACGTAATTCAATGCTGAATTATCAAACTGCTTTTGTGATTCACCAAATTGCAGAGAAATTACTGAAATTTCACTTGAGCTGAAGAATTTCAGGACTAACACATAGATGGCGTTGGTCTCATTGCATGGCTGTTGAAATTTCATCATATTCTGCTCATGCTGCTACGCTAGCTCGACTAAATGCGTTGCTGGACAACATATAAGCGGATTCTTTGAATTTTCTCCTGAACCAGTGTTCCTCTTCGTGGATGATTTCAGCTTGAGCCCATTTGATGTTATGTTGATGAGTCCAAAGATGCTCTGCTGTTCCGGATTTGCTGGTTTCTCCTCGTCGTGTGTGTTTCTTGTGCTCAGCAATGCGAACTTCCAATGGCCTCTTAGTTTTACCGATGTATGATTCTCCGCACTCGCAGGGTATCCAGTAAATGCAATTCTTGGAATCGCAGTCCGCGTTTGGTGGCCTGGTTTTCGTCAGGCTGCTACGGATAGTGTTCCCAGATCTAAAGCAGGTCCTGATGTTGTACTTGGACCCAATCCTTCTTATCCTTTTCGATAATCCTCTGATGTAGGGAAGTACAAGTACTGGTTGTGGTGGCTCCTCTTCCTTGTGGAGCTCTTGCTGTCTTTCAGCTAAAGCCTGTTCTACCATCACTCTGAAGTAACCATTCCGTTGAAGGTCATTTTTGATGATGCCTAGTTCCTTTTCGAGACCTTCCTTTGTTTTACAGAGCCCAAAAGCAAGGTCTAGTGAAGGCTTGATGATTCCTCTCTTAGTCGATTGATGATGGTTGGATTTCTGGTTCAGAAACTGTCCTGTGTGAGTGGGTTTTCGATATACAGCTGTTTCTCATTTAGTGTCGGTCCTCTTCACCAATACGTCTGAGGAAGCCAATTTGTTGTGGACTTCCTTCTCCATTGTTAGACTGATCCTATTGTTTATTTATGAACTCTTCAGTATCTATTACTTTTCTCATAATTGATTTTATGATCTAAGTTTTTTCATTTATGAATATTACTTCTTTCACTTATTCTGGCTCAAAATGGATTTTGGCGCTGAAACAAAATATTTAGCATTAGTGTCATTGGAGAAAAGGAGTTTTAGAAGTATAACCAGTGCATTTCTATCTCGACACACGAAACGACATTCTAAATTTCACATTCTCATAAAAAATACAGTATGATTTTTAGAAGACCAATGAGACAACTTCTTGACTATAATAATAAAATGCTTAAATAATACACACAAGCAATACACATATGAGCATTTCAATCACTTCTGTTCACATATTCGACGACACTGTAGAAACATCTGGAAATCAAAAACTCTTTCAGTTTTGCTTTGAAAATACCTGGGGTTTCTTCCGTCCGTACCTCAACCGGAAGTTTGTTATAAAATTTTGTCCCTGCATAGGAAGGGCAATTTTCGAAAAATGCAGTCGAGTGCTTTTTTAATCTGATTTTATTCTTTTGTCTAGTAGGATAGGTATGAAAATCTGAGTTTTGAAGGTGCGTGTCATATTTCTTCATAAACAAACAAACGCATTTATAAATATATATACAAGGTAAACACATGATTCTATTTTCAATAAAAATTTGTTTGCACGAATCTCTATAGGCAAGATTGAATATCAAACGAATAACTTTTTTTTGGGAGACAAAAATTCTGTTTATATCAGAAGAACAGCCCCACACTGCTATATTGTTGGAAATATGAGGATAGAATATGGCATAATAAACATTTAACAGCTGAGATTTATTAAAAATTGAAGTTAACTGTCTTAGGGCATAGTATGCGCTGTTAAGTTTATTATTCACTTGATTAATGCTAGATTGAAATGACATATCACTATCTATGCATATGCCAAGAAATTTAGTTTTTTCTGATGAGTTGATGAGATCATTATTGACTTTGACCTGTAAATTTTTTATTTTTCTCTGGTTTCTGTAATGGAACTGCAACAAAACAGTTTTCTTCGAATTTACAATTAAAGAATTCCTGCGACACCAGCTTGTGAATTCTACAGATAATTTGTTGAGTTTGTCCTGGAGTTCCTCAGGACTATTTGCATCAGTGGCAAGTGTCGAGTCGTCAGCATATAAGACTACAGAATCTGTACTAATATGGTTTGGCATATCATTTACATACAATAAAAAAAAATTAGTGGGCCCAAAATGGATCCTTGCGGAACACCTAAATCCATATTATATGACAAAGACTGCTTTTCTTCTACTTTCACATGTATTCTTCTGAAAGTTAAATACGATTTTAACCACAGGAGAAAATTACTCCTGAAGCCAAGGGAATGCAACTTGCTTAGAATTATATTCAAATCAATGACACGGTTGCTATTACTATACATCGCTCGAATCAATTTTTGAGTAGAGTTTTTTCATTCATAAATGGTATTTCATCATCCATCCATGGTATACCAGCTGCTTATACTGATCATTACTGGAAATTAAATTGGGACAATTTTTATTAAATTGAAATTACCAAAATCCTGTTCGTTGACATCGATATTTCACACTGTGCAGTTTTTTCTTTAATTCACTACGTAGAATTTTTTCAGTATTTCAAACATATTTTCAAACATTTTCCAAATGGAAGAGCCTAAGAGAGCCAAGACCAGAGAAAGCACGCCAAGTTCGATGAAATTTCTAGGTTTTTCTCACTGTTTCCTCGATTACCGTGGCGTAGTTTATCAGGAGTTCTTGCCACATGGTCGTAGGGCCAATAAGGAGTATTACCTTAAAGTTATGCACTGCTTGCGAGAAGCAATACGAAAAGAACCTACGTAATGACATTTCAAGTCTAAATCTTGGCTGTCTGAGTTGTCCCGCATTTCTAGTTTCATAAATATGATGATCAGAGTGTTTGTAGGGTAGTATTTTGTTTTTATGTATTTCTAACATACAGGGCAAAGACATTGTTCCCAATTCTCTAAGGAATGGTTGACAGTCTGCGCCGAAAAAACAACATAATCATACCTCAGCCACTGTATTCACCAGATTTGGTCCCCTGTGGTATTTTCTTGTTCCGAAGATTTAAGACACCCATGAAAAGATGGCGTTCTGTGACTATTGAGGAGATGAATACCGAATCGCACCCAAAGAATTTCGTAGTGACATTTCAAATCAAAATTTCGGCTGCCTGAGATGTCCCGCATTTCTAGTTTCATAATTATGATGATCAGAGTGTTTGTAGGGTAGTATTTTGTTTTTATGTATTTCTAACAGTGAGTAGAAAATCAACATACAGGGCAAAGACATTGTTCCCAATTCTCTAAGGAATGGTTGACAGTGTGCGCCGAGAACAACAACATAATCATGCCTCAGCCACCGTATTCACCAGATTTGGTCCCCTGGGACTTTTTCTTGTTCCCAAGATTTAAGAGACCCATGAAAGGTCGGCGTTTTGTGACGATTGAGGAGATGAATACCGAATGGCACCCAAAGAAGTTCATAGTGACATTTCAAGTCTAAATCTTGGCTGTCTGAGTTGTCCCGCATTTCTAGTTTCTCAATTATGATAATCTGAGTGTTTGTTTTCATGTATTTCTAACAGTCAGTAGAAAATAAACGTACAGGGCAAAGACGTACAGGGCAATTTTCTAAAAAATTGTTGACAGTGTGAATCGATTGTAGCTCCAGCTATAATTCTGATGTCTTTTTTCTACATAACGTTCATTGTATTGTATTCGCAGTTACAGATACAAGTGGTGTAAAAACATTTCAAGTTTCATTTCTCATTTCTCATGTAACTAACGGCTATATCTATCAATCTACCATATTTTTTCAAGGACCATACGACCGGCATAAACTGCGACAAGTGTGAACCGGGCTTCTTCCGTCCCGAGGGCACCCTTCCGGATGCGGCGCAGCCCTGCATCAGGTGCAACTGTGGCCCTGCGGACTCCTGCATCCAGTACGGCCCTGAAGCGGGAACGTGCCGCTGTCGACTCGGTTTCATCGGCGACAGATGCGATTCGTGTGCGCCCGGCTTTAGAGGGTATCCGGATTGCGAGCCTTGTCCTTGTGACGCGAGGGGGGTGGCAGGCCTGGAAGATTGCGAGGGAGAGTGCCTATGCAAGGTGAGTAATAATAATAATAATCGGTTTTATTGAAAATACGAAAAATACAAGGAGAAATGGGAAACAAGAAGTTACAGGAGATTCTGGTACTCATTGGCATAGTCTAGCACAGTACTCAGACTTAACCAACAAGCACCACTCCATAACTATCGTCAACCTACAGAAATTAACAAAACAATTAACAGTAATCGTACCATGACTAGAGAAAATCCTCCTTACTTGTTGCAGGATCTGCATATACAATATTCCCCATTATGTCCCCACACATAATAGTCCATAGGAAACAGATCGGGAAAACGTGCGGGCCAAAGGTACGGCCTATTATTGGCAATCAACCCGTCAAAAAATATTTGCCCTTTCTGATGATATGAATCCTATTATTTTCCAAGATTCGACTAACCGATGGTCATTGCGGTGTACCTTGTATAAACATTTTAGCCGTTAGAACCCCAAATCCAGACTAAATGAATGAGAAATAAATGTTTTCCATGCAAATTAGTGGAATAAACATCCTGATTTTGTCGTAGTAATAGAGGGGTACGTTTGTAGGAAATAATTCTGTTATTAAAAGATAGTGGAGTATCACATCAACATTTCTACTGAAATATAATGAAGTTGAACATCAGCAAAGAGTTTGACCTGCCTCCTAAATTTGAAATTCAGTTTATATAAATTTGAATAAAGTGTTGGGTCTAAATGTTATTCTTGCAATTTTCCAGACAAACGTGGAGGGAAAATACTGCGATAGATGTAAGCCAGGTCATTTTGGACTGCGGAACGATGTGCCAGAAGGTTGCTTGTCCTGTTTCTGTTCTGGAGTCACGACGTTATGTGAACCAGCTGCATTCATTCCACGAAAGGTAAGGCTATAACCTCCCCAAGTACCCGCTCTCTATAACTATTCACCATTGATGAAAATATTCGAACTGCAGGAAAAGATTTACCAAATTTGCTCAAAATGAGCTCGATCGAAATAAAAACACAAACTATTGATGAGGTCTGCCGCAGAGTCAGACGAAAGGTTCAGTTCAAGTCAGGTTTCAATCGACTATGGTCTATGAACCGAATTTTTTGTCTTCATTTGAATTTGGTCATCTACTGGAAGGGATCATTATTGAAAAAAATACGTATAGTATGTATAGCAAAATACGTATCCAACATTCTTATCCAGTGCGTGAATAAACGTATCCAATCAGATGATGAATCAGAAAAGGGAACCGTTATCTTCATCACAGTTATATATTGCGTGAAATTGAAGTATTCAAATAATATTCAAATTAAGTTTTTGAATCATTGAACTTGAATTAAAATACTGTAACATACAAAACAAGTTTACAAGGCGTTTTAAACGTTGCCACGGAAATTATTTACAGTTTTTCAAAGGATACCATCTTAAAAGAACATTGCTATGGTTTCTGCTTACTTTCTCATTATCAATACCTTAACAAGAAATAAGTTTTGAGTATACTGCAATAATTTTTGGGTGTTTTTTATCGAATTTCATTGACCACATTTTTTAATAGAGAATGAAGAGACCTTTTAAACGATATATAACAAGCCTATACTTCTCATTTGAAAAATGGGGGGTTGTACATGTCATTCGACGGGGGGTTGAAGGTAAGGGTTGACATTTTCCGTCGAAGTATGTCAAATTATAATTTAAATTTGACTTGTTTCGGAATTTTGTTAAAATGTATACCGTAACCGAAATAATGAATTTACTCCATTTGGCTTTCACACACTGTATAATTCGAATAATAGTGACTTTTCACTTTTCTACCTATTTATTGCCTGATACTTTGGTTCTCTAGGAATATATTGAATTGGATCAACGATCAAATGAAATTATCTGAGTTCTTACATCAAACATACTTGCCATCAAGCTACTTCTATGTTCTGTAATTCTTTTGGAGGAAGCTCTACCAGTTTGGCCAATATAAGGTTTCGGACAACTAATCAACTCATATACTCATGATATAACGTGAAAAGCAGCTCCTTGAGAGGTGAATTGAAAAAGTTACTGTCGTCTTTGAACTGAATATATTCTTTTCCAGCGAATCAGAGTCTACCAGACAAATGAATTGAATGTTTCTTGCAGAAGCACACATCCAATTAAGAAAAGTAATGCTGCTCAGCGCACTTCCCTTAATGAAGAGTTTTTTATCTCTACTTCCAGTCCATTATTTCGACAAAGACATCCATCCCCAGCCGCTTTTGAGACTAACAAAGGTCGCCGTCGAAATATTTTGTCGCAGCGAAATGAATTTGTTTGTGTCCTTTGAGCGTCGTTTATTCACAGATAAACTGTTGTTGTCGCGCGTATCCAATTTGCATAGAATTACGGGAATGGGGTTGTTCAAATATTTGATACCGCTGATCAAAGTGGAAAGTGAACCGAAAAATCGGGAATTAGCGGCTTTGTCGTTTGGAAATTCGAGGCGAGTAATTGTTCGACGGTTTGTTTGACCGATAATTTTATGGTCTGTATTCGGAGCTGTTTACTTGAATAACAGTTGGGTAGATAACTGTTGGGCTAGAATTTTCGTAGGCTAACAGACAAAAACATTTTTTGAAGTGATAACGTTACCCTGACGCACATCGTCTGTCTCTCTCCTCTTTTTTTCAAATGGAACACCCTGGATGATCGTAAATGGACCAGTTATAAGTTTTTCGAAAACAATCCAAACATGGTTGAAATTCACTAAATTTCAAAGTGCCATGAGCGATTTTTTTTCAATCGAACCAACTTTATATCTTTCACGGTTTTCGATGTTTCCATGCCTGTCCTCCTTATTTTAGAAACACCGAATAAATAAAAAAGGCTTCCTAATGCCGACCTTCAATTTTTTTTCAGATCCAATCCCTGAAAGAGTGGCAGATTACAGACCTGAAAGTATCCAAAGTAGTCAAACCGAACTGGAACGGCCAAAGCGTATTTTCTCTGGGAAACTACGACTTTCCAGGTATAACGTCCCTCTACTGGTTCGCACCTCAAGATTATTTGGGCAACAAACTCGAGGCTTACAACTCCAACTTCTTGATCAAAGTTCAGTGGGTGGTGATGAGGGGGGATACCAGCGGGGTACCGACGAGGGGACCGAATATAGTGATTGGGGGTGAGTTCAAATCGGTTGATGGAAATTTTCAATCGAAAATTGTTTGAGTATTAATCACGAAGTTGGAAAAAGGGTGCAGCATGTTTTGAAAAATAACAATCACGCGAGTTCACAAAGTAATCTGCCTTTAGTAAAAATGTTACTACCGTCTTTTTAGGGGAACATCGTTTTTTAGTGAAAATCTTCATGGGTTGAGAAGCTGAAAAAGCTCCTTGGGCATACACAGATATTTCTGAAGTCATTTAATATACATGGCAGCCCATTTTCCATGGATCTAGCACTGAATGTCTGTTGTTGAAAATGAAATTCTGAATATATTTGGAATGTTGATATACAAGTTATGTTCAAAAAATAAGGTGAATGTTGAAATTTCGTGAGCTAAGTACATTTGATTAACGAATTTTTATGACTTCCCACATTTCAGCATAACCTCCGTTACTCCAAATACAGCATATACAGGGTGACCCATTTTTAATAGAAACATCCCCCTAAAATTTGAAGTTGTAAATCAATTTTAATAATTTTTTTTTAAATGTCAAGTACTAAAAGGTCTACCTTGGGACGAAATTTGGAATGTTTATTAGGCATACTACGATATTTTTNCTAACCTAACCTAACCTAACCTAACCTAACCTAACCTAACCTAACCTAACCTAACCTAACCTAACCTAACCTAACCTAACCTAACCTAACCTAACCTAACCTAACCTAACCTAACCTAACCTAACCTAACCTAACCTAACCTAACCTAACCTAACCTAACCTAACCTAACCTAACCTAACCTAACCTAACCTAACCTAACCTAACCTAACCTAACCTAACCTAACCTAACCTAACCTAACCTAACCTAACCTAACCTAACCTAACCTAACCTAACCTAACCTAACCTAACCTAACCTAACCTAACCTAACCTAACCTAACCTAACCTAACCTAACCTAACCTAACCTAACCTAACCTAACCTAACCTAACCTAACCTAACCTAACCTAACCTAACCTAACCTAACCTAACCTAACCTAACCTAACCTAACCTAACCTAACCTAACCTAACCTAACCTAACCTAACCTAACCTAACCTAACCTAACCTAACCTAACCTAACCTAACCTAACCTAACCTAACCTAACCTAACCTAACCTAACCTAACCTAACCTAACCTAACCTAACCTAACCTAACCTTTCTAATAACTCTTTTCAAGATCGGTTGCCCTAAGACCTGTAAACTATGCATGGTAATTAGGATGCCTATTTGAATTAACATTAGTGTTATTATCATAAATATGATAGATTTCAAATCTGTCAACATCTTTTTCAGACAATACGAGTCCTAACTTGTGATATTCCCAAAGTTCTTATTCATAACTCATGTGATTGAAGATTATCTGAAGAGTTTTCAATAATTTTCAACCTCAACAACCATTTTGTCTAACTTCAGGCACTAACGGACTAAAAATTGCACACGGAGACGACAGCCACACCTCCTCCAATACAGATTTCCATATCAAATTGAGCGAACCGGATTGGTTTCACATACCTGAGGATATTAAAGATATCACTGAAATCGATCCCAGTGTCTATCACGGTGGAAAAGTCAGTAGAAGCGAGTTTCTCAGCGTGTTAGCCGACGTCAAGTATATTCTGCTCCGCTCGACGTTCCACACCGATCAAATCGAAGCACTGCTAGAGGAAGCGACACTAAATCTGGGTGAAGAGGAGGATATTTACAGCAGTGTGGAAAAATGTTCTTGTCCTTCAGGTGAGAATGAAAATGTCAGTTGGAACTGTACTTCTGATTATTCGGATTCCCCACAGGATACACCGGTCTTTCCTGCGAATCCTGCTCCTTCGGCTACGTTAGAATCTACACCAACACATCCCTCACCTCCACAACGCTTCCCACCGATGCCTTCTGCGCCAAATGCGACTGCAACGGCCATTCTCCCACCTGTAACGCCACCACTGGGGAGTGCTTTTGCGAGCACAATACCCTAGGAAGGAAATGCGAGCGTTGCTCCCCTGGATTCTACGGCAACCCCACCAGGGGAACCCCCGAAGACTGTAAGAAATGCGCTTGTCCGTTGTTGAACGATGAGAACAATTTCAGCCCTAGTTGTCAACTGGATTATTTCACCGAGGAGTTGGACGCCGAAGGGACCTACGTATGTACGCAGTGTCCTAAGGGGTATACTGGGGATCATTGCGAAATGTGAGTGAAACAGTTTCACATAATGATAATAATGATGCGGAGATAGTGAGCCAGCGCAAAGAAAATGGATGCTCTGTGGTGTGACTTTTTCAATAACAATTTTAGAGTCAGAATTGATATGTATAATTGCTCTGTGTAATATAACCGAATGCCTGGTTGTTGAAACAAATGAATTCAAACAATAATTCTCCTGTTGAGGAGAAATTAGAGATTGGAGGATTTTTTCTTTGAAAACTGACACATTGGACATGCACTAAAATTGGCGCATTCGCCAAAAATTTGAAAAGTCTACATTTTGGTGAAGGCTCCCGTTTTACAACAACTTATTGGATCGTCTGAAATAATACAAATTACAAAGGCTACAAAAATCGAATATCGTTGACTCATTGACATTTAGGTTGTCACTAAAGCCCACTATCTACATAATTTAAATTGTACTGGATAAATTTATATAGATGCAAAAGGAGCAAACTCACACGTCAGTGATAAGTAGAGTAAATTTGTCCTGTTCATAAACAACTTTGATATTGAACATGACTATATCAGGAGGAATCCCTTCAACACAAATTTGATGAAATCATTGATGTAAGTATGCGGACTAAGGACAAGCGAGGTCTTACATTTCACCTTGCGATTTCCAACATGTACCAAACAAATCATCTCGTCGGCAAAAATACTGTACGGTTTCTTGGTAGGTATGCAACGCAGAGAAATTCATAGAGTTTGAGTTTTGTTTATGGAAAACTGTTTTCAGTATTTTAATGATAGGAACCGAATGAAAGTACCAAATATTCTGTTGTCCCGCAAAAATTTCAATTTTATTCCACTGAATACTTATATAAACTGTTTCTGAGAAATGGGTGTCCTCATGCTTTAACAAATAGTGTAGATTCATTACGTCAATTCAATTTTTCTGAAAGTAACCATATTTTACTGTAATACAAAACGAATATTTTTTGGAAAAAGCAGAAGTACCGGTTTTGAAATTATTTATATAAAAGAAGACATTATGTATTCATGATTGATCAAAAAGCTCTCTTCTCGTTTNCCAGCACTCGATCCACTCTCAATCTATCACCGTTCACGAGTTATTCTAGACTCAGTTTTAAATATTATGTCAATTGGCGACTTCGCCAAAATATGTGCGCACTTCGCTATAATATGGCGAAGGCGTAATTAATGACTGCAAATGCAAAAACTTTAATAACATTTGCTTTTTTTATTTATCGAGTGTAGATGTTATTGAAACCCTTCTAAATGTCTTGCTTCAACTTCCCTGATGTACCAAAAATTGAACAGTACATGACTTTCCCACTTTACTGACATCATGTATATTTTTTGTAGATGTGACGATGGTTTCTATGGAAATCCTATGGAAATCGGCAATAACTGCCAACTCTGTGACTGCAATGGTGGACCATGTGATAGAACAACGGGCCAGTGTTTGAGTTGCAAAGGAAATACTGAGGGTACATAACCGTATAACTAGTTTTGAGCCTAAAGTACTAGAAATTGAATTATCGTTTGAAATTCAGTGGATACAAATATTACCAGTGATCCATCGAAGGTGGTGTGGGTGAAATTATTGACAATTTCTTTTATTTCAGGTTGGAAATGTGAGAAATGTAAACCCGAACACTACGGAGAGCCTTCCCTCTCTAACTGTAAGGCTTGTGAATGCGACCCTATTGGTTCAATCACGAAACAGTGTGATAATAATACTGGACAGTGTCACTGCAAAGACAAATTCACGGGAAGAACCTGCGACAAATGTGAGGTAATGATAATATTTCCGATTTCAGTGCAGTTCATAAATATAAGATGGACTGAATAATTCGTTTGCCAACACGCAGATGACGCTACTAGTATCGACTCAATATGATTTTAAGTTGATTTTAACCTTCAAAAGACACGTGTATGAATTTCACAGCTATTGGACTATCAGTTTGTGAGATAGAATATTTCGAGTGAAGGAACTTCTGTTGATTACAAGAAAATGTACAAGCACTACAGGATTTGTCCATAAAAAAAGCTACTATCACATAGCATTATTGGAGTGTTTCGAAATATAAAAAAAACATTTGAAAAAAAAAAGTATTGTTTAATCAAGACAATTAATTCATCGTGTCACAAATCAATGTAAACGATGGCAAAATTGTATGAATTGGGCTTTGAACTGCTTCCTCATCCACCGTATCCTCCAGATTTGGCCCCCAGTGACTTTTTTCTGTTCTCAGATCTCAAGAGAATGCTCGCTGGTATCGAAAAATCGTATGACCGCTACAATCGTTATATCGCCCTTGGAATCTACTATATTAAATAATTAAATCAGATTTCATCAAAAACTATTCATTTTTTTATGTTAGCTTACAAACTTTCCATCTGAACTGTTATGCTGACGCTTTTTAAATTATGTTCATCAGAATATATCTCAAAATAAACTGAACTCGATTTCCAGATTGGTTATGGAAACGTCACTGCCTTGTGTACACCGTGCAGCTGTAATTCAATGGGATCCAAATCGGAAGTATGTGATACCCACACTGGAACTTGCGATTGTCAACCAGGAGTCGAGGGTTTCCATTGCGATGCATGTCAAAATTTGTACTACGGCTTCTCAGAAGCAGGTTGCCAACGTGAGTAGTAAAAGTTATTCCTTAACTTCAATATCCAAAGCAACATCAAAGATGCGTCATCTGCAAAGCTATCACAGCTCCTGTTTTCATGTATTTGGTTGGGAAAAATACTTCTTGGTATATTTTTCGTGTTATAGCATGCACGTGTGATCCTGATGGCTCAAAATTTCCCATGTGCGATGTCAAAACTGGCGAATGTGTATGCAGTCCTCACTACACTGGGAAAAGTTGTGCTGTCTGTGAGGTGAGTTATTCCTATGAATACATTCAAAGCTATGCATCAGTAGTATCTTTCAAAGTCAAAACTAATCATGCAACAGACATATCGTTCAAGGTCACCCTAATTACACCACTTGTCATTGATGGCGTCATAGTGGTGGGGGGAGGCTTAGAACCGGCTCAAATCTCTTACTACAGTTTCGAAAATCAAAAGATTTTTTATTGGATACAACATATTTTTATAGCGGAAAATGGTCGAACACGCAAAAAGTTATTTCTAACTCTTTGGCTTTGAATCTAGTTAAATTTATATTGTTGTAGAACGGATACTGGAAGCAATCCAAAACATGTGTCGAATGTAAGTGTAACGAACACGGTTCCTTGGGGGATACCTACTGTGATAAAGAAACTGGACAGTGCCAGTGTAAAACAGGAGTAATGGGAAATTTGTGTGATCTCTGCCTACCAGGCCATTATGGAAACGTGAAGATTGGCTGTAAAAGTAAGAAAGCTCAATTTCTTTCAGCTAGGTTATTTTGATTTATTGTCATTTCTGATTCAAGATCTGTCTCTGTCTTGGAAACGATAATGGTATTCACTTCAATTGACAACTTACAACAGAAATTGTGGTGAATTGTTCAAATATTTAATTTTTGTTACCCAACCATCAACATACGAAAAAATTAAGTGAATAGTAGTTCTTGTATAAAGCTTGATCTACAGACTACAAAAGTTAATAGCGTTTAGTTCATTCTGTACCATAACATGTTGTTAGATAAAACATATATAGGGTCTCATGAAGATCTGCATTGCTACTCATTCCTAATGTTCCTACTCTTGCAAAACATTTAGCTGTTTCTCTTATTTCCTCTTCTGCTTAGAAACTATTTTCTAATTTTAAATCGTCAAGGTCTGCGAAGAGAATCCTTCCTTTAATTTTGAGCAATTTGTCTCTGATGAAAGTTTGTTCAACTATCAATTTTCCTAGAATGTGATCCTTGTGACAAAAAAGGCCACATATGCGATCCAACGAATGGAAAATGTGTCTGTCCACCTCTGACTACTGGAAGTCTATGTGAACGTTGTTCACCAAATGCTTGGGGTTACGAACCGGCCATTGGATGTAAGGTAAAAATTATAATTTACAGTTTTTCTACATAAAATGTACTAGATTTATTTCATATTATTGACTTGAAACAATGTGAACCTGGTTCAATGGTTCAAAGTGGTTCCAGAATCAATTCTCGTGGAAAAACCACAAATGACTCAAACTCATCTTGATGTGTAGAAATTCTGTGGTAGATTAATAATTCTGAAAATAACCTCTTACTTCAATATCATTTCCAGCAAAATGTCAAAAGGAATTTGTAAAATTACACGGAAAAAACATTTATTCAAACTCATCTTGATGTGTAGAAATTCTGTGGTAGATTAATAATTCTGAAAGTAACCTCTTACTTCAATATCATTTCCAGCAAAATGTCAAAAGGAATTTGTAAAATTACACGGAAAAAACATTTACAATACCAAGCATTCTGCCATCAAATCCATGAGATATAATTTCATAAATGCTCATTTTAGGCTTGTGCATGTTCAGCAACCGGTAGTTCTGATCTTCAATGTGACTTAACAAAAGGAACGTGCTCTTGCCAAGATGGCTTCGAAGGTGAAAAATGCGACAGATGTAGCTACGGCTACTACGGCTATCCAAACTGCAGAAAGTGCGGATGTGACCCTACAGGAACTGAAGAAGGACAGTGCCAAAATGGCCTTTGCAGGTGCGCTGATGACGGGACTTGCTTGTGTAAGGTGAGCATTTACTACAAACTCATAAATTTGCCTTCATTGTTATGTGTTCAATTGTGTTTCACAGCAAAACGTCCAAGGAAAGAACTGCAACACCTGCAAAGAAAACAAGTACGGCCTGAGGAAAGGTAATCCACAAGGATGCACTGAATGTTTTTGTTTCGGCAGAAGCAATCAATGCGAGGACGCTCTTTATCATTGGAGCAAAACCACCAGGCTGGAGAGGAATATAGAAGAGAGCAACCAAGTAGGTATTATACCTGGTTTAACTTTTGGAAGATTCTATAGCTTTCTACTGTACCGCAGTTTTCTCACAGTCCCACAAGACTCTTGAGAAATGATCCCTCAACAATCCTGAGAGATGTATTTTGACCTGGCAGACCAGAGCATCCAGAGGGATACAAGGCAATATGTCTAATGGGGTCCATTAGTCATTGGACCCCACAGGACATATTACCTTGTGTCCCTCTGGATGCTCTTATATGTCTAGTGGGGTCAATTATTCATTGGTCCCCACAGGACATATTACCTTGGGTCCCTCTGGATGCTATAATGTCTAGTGGGGCCCATTAGTCATTGGACCCCACAGGACATATTACCTTGTGTCCCTCTGGGTCCATTAGTCATTGGACCCCACAGGACATATTACCTTGTGTCCCTCTGGAAGCTCTTATATGTCTAGTGGGGTCCATTAGGCATTGGACCTCACAGGATATATTACCTTGTGTCCCTCTGGGTCCATTAGTCATTGGACCCCACAGGACATATTACCTTGTGTCCTTCTGGATGCTCTTATATGTCTAGTGGGGTCTATAATGCATTGGACCTCACAGGACATATTACCTTGTGTCCCTCTGGAAGCTCTTATATGTCTAGTGGGGTCCATTAGGCATTGGACCTCACAGGATATATTACCTTGTGTCCCTCTGGGTCCATTAGTCATTGGACCCCACAGGACATATTACCTTGTGTCCTTCTGGATGCTCTTATATGTCTAGTGGGGTCTATAATGCATTGGACCTCACAGGACATATTACCTTGTGTCCCTCTGGATGCTCTTATATGTCTAGTGGGGTCCATTAGGCATTGGACCTCACAGGACAAATTACCTTGTGTCCCTCTGGAAGCTCTGTTCTGCTAGGTCAGAATACATCTGTCAGGGTCGTTAGGGGGCTATGGGGGATCATTTCTCAAGAGTGTTAAGGAGCTTTAGAAAACTGCAGCACAGAAGAAGATTGTGTCTGATTATTAAAAAAACTATACATTGATGATATATACATTGGTAACAACTCATATATTTCACCATTGTCGGGATATTGAATGTATCTCGAGAACTATCGATATAGGTTCTTGATGATGAAGTGCATTCTGGTCATCCTCAAACTGAACTTTCAATTAATACTTCCACATAATTTCTGTTGAGGTTGCCGAAGACGAGCTGATGTTGCCAACGACCTTCATGGGAGATATTACCTCATCTTATGGAGGTTATCTGGTTGTAGAGGTACCAGGTGGCTATTTTGATGTCTTCTTGGAAGGAAACTCTGTAGAACTACATTCTGAAAGCAACAACAATGAACTCCAACTGGTCGAGTCGGAAAATTGGCGGGTGGTTTCAAGAAATACAGACTTTCCCAGTAGCTGCGTTCATCGCCTTACCAGAGCTTGCTTCATGGTGGTTCTGCAGAAAGTAACGGCTTTCGTGGTCAAGTCCAACAACAGGTAACTTATAGGATTGATTATTCAGCAGTCGTACACTATTTAGAGTATCTTATAGTACTTTTTTCTCTTCAGGAATAGTTCCTTCAACAATATGTTTTCTGTCTACTGTCAAATTCATAGTACTAACTCTCCTCCACAGGATCAAAGAAGTTCTGTTGGACAAGGCTAAGAATGAAGAGTCCACCTATCCTATTACTCACTCAATAGAAAAATGTCAGTGTCCTGAGGAGTACACAGGACTTTCTTGCCAGGATCCCAACGAAGGCTTCTACAGGTATTACCCAAGAGACCAGCAGAGCTCCTGGGTTGACGTTGTGGTGGGAATTGCGAAAGAGTGCGACTGTGAAGGGCACTCAAGTGAGTGTGACGCTGAGACTGGGTTTTGTGAGGTAAAAATAATAGTATGCGACAGATGATGAACTAAGTGCTATCAACGATTGGTTTTTCCAGAACTGCGATGAACATACTAGTGGCAACCATTGTGAGACATGTATTGAAGGCTTCTACATGGATAAATATAGAAACTGTGCTCCATGTTTATGTCCTTCTGCTGACCAAAACAATGCTAAGAGTTGTTTCCCCAAAGGAGACCATTTCAAATGTGAATGTAAAGAAGGTGAGTCTTGGTTGTATATTTTAGATCCTAGTTGAACTTCAGTTGATGAAATTATCATTTTTGTTATGCCAGGTTACACAGGAAACTTCTGCGAGGAATGTGACGAGAGATTCTACAGGAAACCAAACTCTACATCTTGTGAGCCATGTAACTGCAACCGCTTCGGAATTGTGCCAGGCGATCCAGGAAACTGCAACCAATTTGGAAGATGTACCTGTGGTCAGGGATTCACAGGTGCAAAATGCGACCAGTGCATCGAGAAACGAAAATACATTAAAAACGGAATTTGTGAAAGTGAGTTTGACTTTATCAAATATATATTCGTTTGCTTTGCCAAAATTATCAATCAGGTTGAATAATTCTCCTTCGAAAATTAATGAAACAAAATCATGTATGATTTTAGCTTGTGATGAATGCACAATGAAGCTCTTTGACGTAATAGACCTGCTGAAACACGACATTGAAGGCCTATTTGAGATATTCAAAAACGGTATCGGTCCTCCCTGGAAAAAACTAACGGAAAACGTTGAGAAGTTGAAGAAATTTTCAGCAAGGTACTATCAGAAAAAAGAAAAACTTGATTTACTCACAGAAAATGCTGATAAAGAAGACAACGAAGCTAAGGTAACGAAAATTAAGGAAAAACTGAGCAAGAACAGTATCCTTGCTGAAGAAAATCTTGGCAAAACTGACAAAATCTACGAGAAATCTGGTAGATTACTTGAAGAGTCTATGGAACTCAGTGGAAAACTCATAACCCTCATTCAGAGCCTTGAGAGCTTTGGTACAAAACATGTAAATTTGAAGGAGGCCTTGAAAAGGGCTCGTTATACACTCAAAGAAATTGAGGGAGTTTCAAAACAGTTCACGACCTACCAAGATGAAGCTCTTTCGTTTTGCGCCAAGGTCAGCAAAACAGTTGACAATTTATATAAACTACCTCCAGAATTACCAGAAAAGCAGCTGGTGGACTTGAAAGGAAGGATACAAGATCTCATTGATATTGGTACCCACGTGGAGAACATCTCCAAGATAGCAGATATAAAAAATCTGGAGAACTCGAAGGGATTGGAGAAGGTGAAAGAAAAAGTAGAGATTCTGAAGAGTAAAAACAAAAATATAGAGATTGCTTTGGGAAATATCATGAAGAATAATGTTGCGATTGGAGAAGCAAAGGACAATCTCCACATAGTCTATGGAGAGTTGGGAAAAATCCAAGATTTCGTCGAGTTCAAGGAAATTGAAGACAGGGTGAAGAAGCAGATGAAAGATATTCCAGAAATTGGTTTGCTCCACTCCAGGGCCATAGAACATGTTCAGAGGTTGGATGAGAAAATCAATAAATATAACAGGTTTGTTGATTAATATATTTTGCATGTATTTTTATTGTACTTTGAAATTTTTGATACTACTGAAAAATAAAGATCCTTGACACTCATCTTGCCCTACTCATTTTTTCACTTTCCTGAACTGTCTTAGCTTTTACCTGACCTTTGTTGGCTTTCTTCGCTTGATTTTTCCAATCAAAAGCTAAACAAGAGGATCTCGTAGAGATGGATTTGAGTGAATCATTTTATTATCATTATACAACTAATTACCTCATTGAAACTGATGATATTGCACCCCCTATAAGATGAACTGTCACTGACAGACCCCTATTAGGACTGACTTGGGTGTATTTTGTTGTCAACCTTGGTGTAATAAGATAGTTTATTCAATGTTTTTTCTGTGTTCAGAAAGTCTGAGAGGAAACAGAGATTTATTTCAATTCATTCCTCATCAATAATGTTCGCAGCTTATTCAACTTCACCAAAGATGAATGGAAAAAAATCAATGCTAGTGGAGCATATGAAGCCATTGTCAGTGGCGTCCAGGAAGCTGAAGCATCAGTGAAAGTCTCAAGAGATATTCTGAGTGATGCCATTGGTCTCATCGAACCTGAAAAAATGGACAGTTTAGGTGTTAGAACGAATTTGGCTCACGCTTATTCCGATAGGCTCAAACAGAGGATAAACAACCTGAAAAACATATCAAAAAGTAGGTTTTACATTGTTATGGTTTTTGCTTAATCTAGGTTTCAATTGAAAAATCCGTAGACTTTGGAGAGATCCAGAACAAACTGGTCAAACTGAAGTATGGTATACTGGAAAACGGCAAGTCAAACAACGATCTGACTCAAATCCTCCACAAAATCAACAATGAAATCACGTCCCAGTCAGAAAGAGTGGCAAGTCTTGAGGAAGCCATGAAAAATGCCACCGTAGTCTCTGAAGACATGCGAAACATTGAGAAACAGCTTGACGACATGAGTTTTGACAAACAGTTCGTTCTGACCAAGAAGTATCAGAAATATTCTGAATTGACAGCACCAGAAGGTAAAGGGTTCTCTCAAGCTTGATGAATAAGTGTATCACACTTCACTAGATCGAACATTAAATTGTACTCTTCCTTTTTAGGTATTTCGACAACCTTGTAAACTTACGACAGCTTTTCTAGCTGGAGAAACCTTCGACCAGTGTGACTCATGAATTTCTTCCAAGTCTATGAAAGACTTGCCCTCTTCCTTGCCTCTGCTCATAGTATTATTCCAACAATTTTCTTCCTTATAAAAGGTGTGGCTAGGAAATAACCGAGGCAAACAGTCCAAGCTTCGAGGTCAAACACCAGATTGCTAAGTCGCTTGACTTTCCTCTCTACAATCTAGCCGGTTGGTGACACTCACTTGCTCAGTTGGACCACACCTTTGTTCGATCTTTGTATCTGCTTAAATTGTCAATGTGAAATTTTCAGTGAAACTCAGTAAATCCGTAATAGACATATTATCTCTTACAATACGTGTATGAGGACGTATGTTATTCACACAGATTTTTGAGTGGTATAAACATTTCAAAGAGGGGCGAGAAGACGTTGAAGATGATCCACGCTCAAGACGTCCTTCAACTTCGAAAACTGATGAAATCATAAAAGAAATCGGCAACCTCATATGTCAAGATCGCCATTTGTGTGTTTTCCAAACCTCGAGGAATCGACATATAACCAGTTAGACGAATATTACTGAATATTTCATTATGAAAAAAGTGTGTTTCCAAATGGTGCTTAAATTCTTCAAGCCTAAACAAGAAGACTCATGAATAGAAGTTTTCGATGCCTTGAAAACTATTAAAAAACGATCGTAAACCATTGAAAGGAGTTATTACATGGAACAAATTATGGTTCTTTACCTTTGACCCAGAATCTAAGCACCAATCAAAGCACAGTCACCGTAACTGATGAAACTTGGAATGTCAAATCAAAATGATAATATTTATTTACAACATCAATGAATTTCTTCATGTAAATTGAGTCCCTGCAGGGCAAACAGTGAATGAAAGGTATCATTTTGAGGTTCTAGCCACTCTCCAGTAGATTGTAGAAGAACAAGCCGTGGATCCTTCATCAGGGCAATGCTTCAACTTAGACTTCACTGATAGCTCAGTAGTCGAAGCAAAGCATGAGATCCTTGTGGTGAAACATCCACCCTGCTCATCCGATCTAGCTCCACGTAACTTTTCCATGTTACCGAAAGTGGTGGGGGCATTGAGGAGAACTAGATTTGATACAGTGGAAGCAGTGAAAGAAAAAGTGACAGAGGCGTCAAACTGTCTCTCAGAAAACGTCTCAGAATACTGCTTCAAACAGTGGCAAATTGGAATGGAAAATTGAGAGGTTGAGGGAGAAAAGTGTAGCTGATGAAGTGGAAGTTGTGGGGGAACAAAATAAATTCTTTTCTAGCCAAACCTCGTATTTTCAGCTGTTCATAAGTTGCTTCCTTCTCGTGATCCTGTGTCTGACATTTGCATATAACATGACTAGCCTCCCCTGCCTCCTTTATGCATAGCTTTCAGTGCAGAACAAATGTTCAAATTTTGAATAAAGCCGACGCAAATTGATGCTAGATCATCCAGCTTTGGTGGACAGTATACTTTGTATACTCTTCCTGATAGATAATCTGATGATTTGGACAGCAAAGACTTTGTTTTCAAGATGATCATTTCCACAGATCGTCTCCGCTGAAAATCGAGTGCCTCATTTGAAAAACTAGATCCTGAATTGTTAACAATGTTGTTCTTATCCATTTCAATGTGGTTCACACTTTCTCAAACAAATATTATCAATAAATTCTTTCCAATGTTTCAGAACAAGAGCTGCTCGTTCATCGCACTTTTCTTGGAACATGGACTCGTCAGATTGGCCATAAAGCACAGCAATGGCCAAAGCGTCCTCTTACCTCACCACCATAGAGTGAACGATGCAAAAAGACATGTCGTTGAAGTCGGTATGACCCACAACAACGGCGTTCAAACGTACAGCTTGGTCTTGGATGGTCAAACACCGATCATAGTGAGCAGGCAGGTGAATAGGAGACACGTCTTCAAAATAAAGGAATCCAAACACTACTTGGGGGGCGTTCCACCTACGTTCAATAGGTTGTGTGTTCCCATCAACAGTACGTCGCTGTTGGGATTCCTAGGACAAACTTCGCAGAAGGAGAAGCTCACGAATGAGACTATTTCTTATGGGGTGGTGAAAACTAAGCATGAAGTGAGTAACATACTTTTGTCATTATTTGGCTATCTAATATCGAAACTTGAATTGATTTTGTTTTTATTTGAACTATTTCTTCATTTGCCCCAAGAAACAAGCATCCTTATATACTTTTTCAACAGGGTCTTCCGAAATTTGACACTCGCTGGCTGAATGACTTAACGACTAACTCACTCACTCACTAACTGACTGACAGACCGACTGTCTTATCCATTGATCATAGATTTACTGAATCACTGACTAACTTACTGACCGATTAACTGACTCACTGACTGGCTGACTCACTGACGAACTCACCAACTGTGCCACTGACTGGCCGACTCACTTACTCACCGACTGATCCACTGAGTAATCCACTGACCCATCTACTGACTCACCGATCCACTGACTGACTTGCTAACCCACTGACTGACTCACTGACCCGCTAAGTGACCCACTGAGTGACTCACCGACCCACCTACTGATTCGCCGACCCACTGACTGACTTGCACACCCACTAACTGACTCACTCTCTGACCAACTGAATGACTCACTTAGGAGCTGACCAATTGACTCACTAGTTGGCTGATTGACTGAATTACTCAGTAACTGACTCGCTAACTGATTGACGAACTGACCGACCGACTGTGTCATTGACTGACCGACTGATCCACTGAGTGACCCACTGACCCACCTACTGACTTGCTGACCCACTGATTGACTTGCTGATTCACGGACTGACTCGCTGACGAGCTGACTAACTGACGAGCTGACCAACTGATTCACTGACGAGCTGACCAATTGACTCACCGAATGGCTGGTCGACTGACTGGCTCAGTAACAGACTCGGTAACTGATTGACGAACTTATCGGCTGACTGACTCATCGATAGATCCACTGAGTGACCCACTGGCCTACTTACTGACTGACTCACCGACTAACTCACTGAATGATTGACTTATGGACAGACGGATGGATCGACTGAGTGACTGACTGATTCACTGACAAACTGACGTACTGAATGACTGACTTACTGACACACTGACTGACTGGCTTACTCACCGACTGAGTGACTAAGTGATGCACTGACAGAGTGAATCACTGACAGACTGACTGGGAAGAGAATCGCACAGCCACTTGCGTATGGCGACCTGTCGTCATGGCATGCGTCGCCACACCAACAATCGGTTTCACGTGCGACTATGGATGTTTCACGTCAAAAAACAAAGTTTGTAATGGAGAACTTTATACAGGTGCAGAAAAAACAATTTCTAGTCTATCAGTACCATGACATTTTCAATAATTTCACCCATCCTCATCTCCAAAATATATTTTCCCACAGCTTTTATTCACTAGAATCGATATGTTTTGCTGGGTATTGTTTTGAATCTCTACTAGAGTAATTCTGTACACTAAAATCTCTTTCAGGCAATAGACTTCAGTCAAGTGTGGATCCACCAGAATGGGCACATGGACATTAACACGCCCATGGAAAAGATCAACAGCATCAGCTTCATCCTGAGACCTACCAGCTCAGACGGACTCATCATGAAATTCCTCAAGAATAATAATAATGAAGACAATTATATAGCACTCAGCGAGCTGAATATTGTCATCAACGGTTTAAGATATGATAGTACGAGTCTCATTTTGAACGACTACAACAACGTTGAATTGAACTTTGCCAAGAACAAGAAAGAATTGACAATTAATGGCAAGACTGAAGATTTGAAAGGCAGAGGAAGAATCGGTGTGGACTGGATTCAAATCGGATCATCAGACAAGGGTTTCAGTGGAGGAATTCGGGATATTTTGATAAATGACAGGTTAGTTCATGAACTGAATATTGAAAACTTTATAGGGACATCTAATGTCATATTACAAATTGAAAAAATTAGTTGTTCAAGAAACATTTTGAAGAATTGTAGAAGAAATGGAAACTACCCATTACGATTTGATCTCCACAAACAGGTGTAGTTTTTGAAATCACTATGGATCTTCATCTAGTAACGGCCGAATCAATTAGAAAGAAATCATTTCTATCTTATCATTCTTTCACATCATAAATCCGCTTTGATTTTTTTCCAAAATTCCTCATGGGTATTTCATTTCGTTTCAGGTATTTTCCTGCAAAGAAACATCACCATTTCATTTTTCTTGTAATACATTCCTGATGGAAGGGGGGACTGAAGTCTCCGGCAAAAAAAATTAAAACCAAGCACTGGCACTGCTCCCAATCACCAAAATTGCCCCAATCTGCTCAAACTAACCAAGTTATCTATTTCATCTTCTAAAGAGGCCAATTTGGGTGCTCCCAAACAACAGAACGTTTCACAGCGCGTGCATCGTGAATAGTGTTACATTTCTAGTGTTTGGGAGATGTGCTTGTTTTGAACTACATTCTTGTTTCGAGAAACTTATTTCTATCGTACTTTACTCCACTCTGATATACCCCACCAAGAAGCTACCTTAGACAACTATAGCCTAGTCTATCTAACTCTTCCTTTTTCTCCACTGGTTCGTTCTCTTCTACCTCACCATATCTCACTTCTCCAGTGATCATTTTCTATTGGTTGCTGTCTGTGTCCCTTTTTCACTCTTCATCATCTTCTTCCCATTCTCCACTGCTCACGGTTTGCTATCTGTTATGGTATCTTCTCTAACCACTACCTCCAACTCCTCTTTCCGCTATTCTCTTTTCAATTCGTTTCACCACCTATTCTGAATCGTTCTATCTCTATTTCATGCTATCTGTTATCTATTCTCTTTTCTCCTTTCTCAGTGTGATCTTCTCCTTTCAATTATTTTCTCCCTACTCTACTTTATACTCCCCATTCTCTGTTTTCTATTTTTCGACTTCATATTCTGTATCTCTAAAGCCTTATTTGTGCTATGACCTCCATTCTCTTTTCACTACGATTTTGCTATTCTTCATTATCTTTTCTCCATTATTCACTCCCTAACCTGCCCTTTATTTCGCCCAGGCTTTATTCTCACCATTCTCCACTCTCTAACTGATCTAACTACTTTATACTCTCTATCGATTGTCTAGTCCCTTCCCCTACTCCTCACTTTCCACTCTCTTTTGTCTGTGCTCTACCCCCCATCATTTGCTCTTTTTTTTTGCAAAACGAATCAGACTTTCGTGGCCAAGTTGCTCTGTATTTGTCAGTTTCTTGAATTGTTAATCTTTTGAATAAGTTCAGTAGATAGACAAAGCCGATGCTGGCCCCTTCCCCCCTTCGCGACCCTTGAGATCGTGGTCTTCAAGATAGGACCTCGAATGGGCCAATAGGAATGGGCCAACATAAGCGGTTTTTATATTTAGGCTATTGGACAGCATTACCTACTCTCTATACAGTTAACAGTTTCATTTTATTTTAGATTATTAACTTTCAACGAAACATCAGTTAGAGGATTCTCCAACGTGGAAATAGGCAGAGAGAAACCTCTTCCAAAAACCAACATCTACGTGAAAAGTTTAACCATGCTCAAATTGACAAACACCATGCAAAACACGGAGAGATGCGTGGAACTCAACAGTTACGAAACAATGAATGATTCTGTAAAATTTGGTGACAAGTTCAACAGCTACACTCGCATCAGAACGAATTTCTGGAGAACAAACTATTTGCTACAGTTGGACTTCAGAACGGTGTATCCCAATGGAGTGATATTTATAACAGTAAGTGTGAGAGTCTGTGATTTCGAACGAATGTTATTTATTGTTTATCCTAGAGCAACAAGAAAATGAACTACATATTCTTGGAGTTGAAAGAAGGCCAGCTGAGGTTGAACATACGTGGGAGAAAGAAGAGGATCAAAACCCTGCCGATAGCATCCCAACAAAAGCTGAATGACGGTGACTGGCATAACATACGGCTAACAAAGAAGTTGAAGAAACTTTCAATCATTCTTGACAAGGAATCCAAACCCAGTAGAATTAGTGTGGGAATCAAACCAAGGGACGAGATATACTTCGGAGGAGTACCATCCAATTCGGAATACATGATGCTGAAGGATTTGGTAAGATATCTCAAGCCTACTGATGATGCATGCATGCAAGTATAACCTCTGTAATGTCTATCGGGTATAATTCAATGTCCAGCTTAATATAATCTGGGGAAGTAGTTTTTTTTTCGGCAGGCATTCACCAGGCGAACTAACCTGTCTTGATTTTTTCAGAAAACCAGACTCCATCCTTTCCGAGGTTGTATGAAATCACTGAAAATCGACAACGAGGAGAATATTTTTTCGAAAAATGGTAAAGACGTAATACATTCAAATGTCGCCCGTTGTTTCTCGAATGTTGAAGAAGGAGCATATTTTGCCGGAGATTCTTACGCTATATACAGTAAGTTTTTCGTTCATCTTGGGTCCGATTGACCTTCTAAAATAACCATAAAATGTATAGAAATAGTGAACCAAAAACTTCAATATAATTTGTTATAATTGAATGTTAACACAGATAGATAATTGATAATCTAAATGAGTTTTGCATGACTCTCCAGCTTCCTGAAATAACGTTTCCTACAAGTGGCCTTCTTCGAAAGGAAAAGTAATCTTTCTCTTGAAGATGATCACTTGGTGGTTGAAACAGGTATCAAGGTGTTGAAAATAATGGTTTGGAAGTGTCGTCTCTACGGTTATCTTCGCTTAATACATACATTATTACAGAGGAAGACTTCCAAGTAAGCGAATTGCTGGAACTCAGCTTCGAATTCCGCACCTCAGAACAAAACGGCATTCTCCTGAGCGTTTCAAATCACGGCGACTATCCAGCTCTATCGGTGGAGCTACAGAACGGAGCTATGGTCATGGCAGTCAACATAGGAAATGGAGTAGTATCAAACGTGACCAATAATCTCGATTCGGACTTCTCGCTGTGCAACAACAGATGGCACAACGTGACTGCCCTGTATTCCACTTTCGAACTCACGGTCAATGTGGATGGAATCAGGAAGAGCTGGGTGCAATCTGATATCAATTCCACTATGGATGAGATGGAAGCGCCTTTGTATATTGGTGGATTGCCAGGTGAGTTATTATTTCAATGATTTTTGTTTGAAACAAGTGCAAAACAGACAATGTTTCGTGTACAAAATTATGGTTTGGTGATGGGATCAAACGCCAGTAATACTTACTGATGAGATTTATTTGGATTTTTCACTATAAACGGTTTGCAGAACCGCGACACGTGCTTCGTTATACGATAGCTTTCTCGAGCTTTTATCTGCTATACAATAACTTTCGCAAGCTTTTCTCTGCTATACGGTAGCTCTTTCAAGCTTTTCTCTGCTATACAATAGCTTTTCTTCGTTACACAATAGCTTTCTGAAGCTTTTCTCTGCTACACAATAGTTTTTTTGAGCTTTCCCTCGCTATAGAGTAGATTCTTCAAGCTTTCCTTTGCTATTTCAAGCTCCTTTCCTCTTTAATAGCTTTCTCAAGCTTCAATCTGCATTCTAAAGCTTTCCTCTGCTATACATAGCTTTCTCAAACTTCTCTCTGCAATACAGTAGCTCTCTCAGGCTTTTCTCTGCAATGAAATTGTTTTCGTAAGCTTTTCTCTGCTACACAAGCTTTTTTCTGCTATATTATAGCTTTCTCAAGCTTTCTTCTGACTTACAGTAGCTCTCTAAAGCGTTTCTCTGCTATACGGTAGCTTTCTCAAGCTTTTTTATGCTGTACAATAGCGTTTTCAACTTTTTTCTGCTATACAATAGCTTTTCTTCGTTAAACAATAGCTTTCTGAAGCTTTTCTCTGCTATACAATAGCTTCTTTGAGCTTTCCCTCGCTATAGAGTAGATTCTTCAAGCTTTACTTTGCTATTTCAAGCTCCTTTCTTCTTTAATAGCTTTCTCAAACTTTAATCTGCATTCTAAAGCTTTCCTCTTCTGAACATAGCTTTCTCAAGCTTCTCTCTGCTATACAGTAGCTCTCTCAGGCTTTTCTCCGCAATAAAATTGTTTTCGTAAGCTTTTCTCTGCTACACAAGCTTTTATCTGCTATATGGAAGCTTTCTCAAGCTTTCTTCCGACATACAGTAGCTCAATCAAGCTTTTCTGTACTGAACAATAGCGTTTTCAAGCTTTTTCTTCAAAGCGTTTCTCTGTTATACAATAGCTTTGTCAAGCTTTTCTCTACTATACAGTAGCTTTTTTGAGCTTTCCTTCACGATAGAGTGGCTTCCCCAAGCTTTTCTCTTCTATTTCGAACTCCTTTCCTNCTTCTCCAAGCTTTCCTCTTCTATTTCGAACTCCTTTTCTCTTCAATAGCTTTTTCGAGCTTTAATCTGCTATACAATAGCATTCTCAAGCTTTTCTCAAAAGCTTCTCTCTGCCTTTCTGTAGCTCTCTCAGGCTTTTCTCTGCAATACAATTGCTTTCTCAAGTTTTTCTCTGCTATACAACCTTTTATCTGGTATATGAAAGCTTTCGCAAGCTCTCTTCTGACATACAGTAGCTCTCTCAAGCTTTTATTTGCTATACAGTATCTTTCTCAAGCTTTTTCATGCTGTACAATAGGGTTCTCAAGCTTTTCTCTGCTATACAATAGCTTTTCTCTATTACAAAATAGCTTTCTGAAGCTTTTCTTTGCTATACAGTAGCTTTCTCGAGCTTTCCTTTGCTATAGGGTAGCTTCTCCAAGCTTTCCTTTTCTATTCCAAGCTCCTTTCCTCTTCAATAGCTTTCTCAAGCTTTAATCTGCTGTACAATAGCTTTCTCAAGCTTTCTTCTGACATACAGTAGCTCTCTCAAGCTTTTTTCTGCTATACGGTAGCTTTCTGAAGCTTTTTCATGCTATACAGAAGCTTTCTAAAGCTTTTCTCTTGAAGATCGAGAGGGAGATCAAACTGTTAGATCTTCCTCTTTAAGATGATCACTTGGTAATCGAAACACGTGTTTCAACAGTGTTTAAAAAATTCAAGAATTCAAATTTTTTGTTTTCAGATGAAGCGCCAATTGGTACCTTAAAATCCGGAACAAATTTCAAAGGCTGCATAAGGAAGTTGAAAATAGAAAACCACGTGATGGACTGGTCAGATATGAAAGAACTGAACAACGTTTCTTTGAATTCATGTCCAACAGATCACAGCTAGAGAAAAAATTGTTGGAGGTGTTCATATGTCAGTTTCATGTTTGTAAGTTTTCTCAAAAAAGTAAATTCAAAGGTAAGGTGAATTGGGCAAAATATTGAATATAATGCAACTCCCTGAGCTCAACACAATAGGGCACTTTTCATAGACGATTGAGGACAAGGTACTTTTTTGAGATAATCTGCAAGTAATTACAAGACTATGGAGTCGACTTATTGTAATAACCAAACCAAACGAAAATCGATAGTATTATATACCGAAATGTATTATAAAACCTCATTGTCATTACAAATTGTACATATCTAATGTATATAATTATTTAATTTTCAAAAAACTGCCATAGATTAGTAAGTGTAGGTAATGTAAGTAGTTTATGTGGATTATTTGTATATATTTTCGTAAAGTGTTTTTTTTTCGACGACGTCTTTGAGTTGATCGCTGACTTACTATAATTTATTATGGTCTTCAGTTCGGGAATTTCAGCTGTTACAAGGACAATGTATTGTAAAGTTATTTTTATGTGAATAAAGAAATATTCACTGTGATTTTTTTTTCAATAGTCCTCTCATACCTAGAGTGAGTAACATCAAGTAACAATGTAAGAAAGTTGGAGTCCAAAAAAAGCAAACATTGTCCCTGAGGCATCAAGGAAACTTTCCATCATTATTTGACTCAAAGAATTGATGAAATATCATCGAATATTGGTAAGTAATTCAAAAATACGCGATTTCTTTGAAGTGAAAATTTTTTCAACGAAGATATTAAACCTAATGAATCTCAAGTCATTTTACAAAACAGACGAAACAGAAACAGTTATTCAAAAATATAAGACTTTCAGCATATTTTATATATTTTGGTGAATGCGTCAGTGTCAATGTAAAATTTTCTAACAGTAACTTGGTTTTTATAAGCATTGAGTTGAGAGATGATAAATTGGATAGCGGCCGATATTAGTATACGAAGTTTCGTTTCATCATTTGTTTGAAGGTGGTTAAAGGTTGTTGAAGGTGGTTTAGTTTCATTAGTTGACAGTGAAAAACCAATTCTGTAGTTTTCATCGGCCTACTCAAGAGATGCATTCTTGCAATTATAGAACCATTCACATTTTTGGTGAACCTATCATTTCTTACTGGGTCATTTCCGAAGTCTCGCAAAATTGGAAGAGAAATTTCCATTCATTAGAAAGTGGACAGATATAAATTGGAAATTTATGAACTTTTGGATTTCTTAAATAGGTTCAAACTCTTAACAGATCATCAACACGGTTTTCGAGTTAATAGCGATCTACTAATACTACAGTAATTTCTTTTTTCGATACTGTTTGAATATTTGGAGGCAGGCGAGTGTCCTGTTGGGATTTTTTGTGATCTCAGCAGGGCATTCGACTGCGTCAATCATAATGCTTGTTGTCCAAGTTACACTCATACGGCATTCGTGGCGTAGCACATTCCTGGATTTGATCATTTTTAGAAAATAGGCAACAATATGTTACAATTAGTAACCACAGTATGAGTACAGTATAAATGTAATTCAAGTCTGTTAAATGTTTCAATGGGTGCTCCGCAAGGATCGGTATTAGGGCCTATATTGTTCCTTTTATATACAAACGATTTGGAATCACATATTAGGAATACTTCTTTAACAATGTATGCCACCGATACGTCTTTAATAGTATCTGACATGGATGAAAAGTCACTCTTAGACAAACTGGTGCTAACAAAACACAATTGGTTAGATTTCACAATCGACAAAATATTGCGTGTCTATTCAATTTCAAATTAACATGTCAATTCTGGGAAAAGAAGAGACAAATTTTTTGGGAACTACCATTGATGCATGTTTGACATGGAAATAACACTGTTCGAATTTAACAAGTAAAATTAACTCATTAGGTTATCTCTTTAGAAACCTAACAGATATCTTGACAGATCAGCAACTTTTGGCACTATACCATGCTCAAGTAGCTTCTCTCTGACATTATACCTCCAACTGTCAACTACCACCCTGGATCCTCCGGGAGAAGGAAATAGTTATTGGTTCACAGAGGATTCAAAAACACCTTCAGGCTCTGGTTGAGGTGTTTTCAGTCGCAGACCCAGAACAGAGATATCAACCTGTCTAGGGACCGATGCGACTGTATTTCAAGCGGAAATCTATGCTACCTCATACACAAGTCGATAAAAATTTTCTCAGACTGTCGAGCAATATTGGCAGCTCTTGGCTCCTACCGAGCAACCTCTAAATTGGTAGCAAATTACCAAAAACGATCCTACTCACTAGGAAGACTCAACAAATTGCTTCTGGATGGCAAGAAGATTCAAGGACTTCAAGGACTTCAAGGATTCACTCACCTTTCGAAGCTTGAAACCAAACAGTTTTTGGACTACTGTAGGGAACTACGATGTCCCCACAGGAACTGTCGTCTGAACCATCATATGCAGAGACTCGGACTCAGGATGACCACATGCGGTAGATTGCAGTAGATGAATTTTCGCCGGTAGATTTCAGTAGATTTGGATAAGACGCCTTGGCGATAAGATTTTCATTTCAATGTGAGTGGCGACATCTACAGTAAATGACATGAATTCATTGTTTTTAGGTTCTGCCCGCTCGATACACAGAACACAAATTGGTTTCAGATCATAAAACATCCATTCCCCGATTACTTATCACAGTTTTCTGAACATATCCAACCTCTGACTATAGACAGAAGAAGAAGATGATAATAATATATAACCTCATTTCACTTTTCATTTTCAAGCACGTAAACATTTCTGTTTTTGAATCTTGACATCTAACACTTGACATAGTTCAAGTGTTCAAAATAACCAACAACAAAGGACCAACTAGAAAGCAACTTGCTTTTTCAAGTATTAGACTTCACCCATTGGCCATACCCGTAAGAAGGCCTTCTATATTCAGTCATACAAAGGTCAAAGTCATTCAAATGTCCTTACAATCGCCACCTTGTGGTCAAAAACTCAAATTATGACTATATTGGAGCCCTTCAAATATATCGCAGTAGATTTCAGTAAGTTTTCAACGACACAGTAGGTAGATTTCTCAAATAATATGTGGTCACGCTGCTGGGACTGTCGGAAGACAGTGTGTGTCTCCTCTGTTTGTAAAATGATGGAACAGCAGAGCATATACTTCGTGCCTGCCCCGCTGCAGTCCAATCAAATTTTCAGAGTTTGGCAGAGCCACACTTCTAGCATACGACCTGAAAGATCACTACTCAGCATATATACTAGTCGGCTTCCTTGAGAAGTTGTGTGAGCCACGATAAATCCTTGCGGATTGCGGGGGAGGATCACTTTTGACCTAACCTAACCTGACCCATTAAAATTAAAGTTGTGCGATTGTTCTGCAGTATCACTATTAAAAAACTCATTCAGAGTGGCTCGTTATACAAACTTTCTTTGTATACGACACATACCTTGAATAACGAGATTACCAACAAACCGCCCTGCCGACATTAGATTTGTTTTCGGCTCATTCACCTAAAAAACGTACCAACAAACGTATAATACAGACATCTGAGTCGGCTTAGTTGAACATTTTTGTTGCGCAAAACGATCTGCGGTAATGAATCAGTACCTACTATACAAAGGTATTAAGCGGATATAATATATATGCTGTTCCGCGGACTGAATTAAAAGGAATTTATCATGAAAACTTGCTTGAATGGGCTCGACGCAGTTTACAATAAACCGTTGCAACGTTGGGATTGCTCCTGATATTTTTTACCTACATTCATCGCAGAAGATTTGAAAGAACTTTCGTTTTGCATGCCTTTTCATAGTAGGGANAAACGATATAAACGACGTAAAATACAATGTAAATAAAAGTAAAACTTTTGAATAAATGGAAAGAATAATACACACCTGTACACTAGTCAAAGAAAATGGCACAAGAAAACGATGTAAACGACGTAATACAATATAAATAAAAGTAAAACTTTTGAATAAATGGAAAGAATAATACACACATGTACACTAGTCAAAGAAAATGGCACAATAATTGGAACACAATAAAATATATAATATAAATAAAACGATGTAGTGTGTGGTTTCCTAATTGAAATGATAGTACCTAATCATTTACATTGAATTCAAGTATATTTTCTGTCAACAGTATCGAAAACTACTATCCTAGGTTGAATCCTACTTGATGATTCATTCCTTTACTCAAAAATTGATTTTTAAACTCGAGCATGAACCTTCTGTACACCCTGTAGAGCGAAATCTTAAGCCAACATCCTCGATGTTTCCTCTCGAACGCATGTTAACCAGAACTCTGCATGCTAATCGCGTGCAGATAGAATTCAACTATCGAGAAACATTTCGAAACGGTTAATGGATTCCCAACAAAGAGAACACAAACATTTTGCAGAAAAATGTACTCTCCAACATAATTTCCTTGCAGCTCTATACACAGTGTGTGCACTTCATTGTGGATTTTAATGACCGACGAAATCATCTACAATCATAGAGTCATACATCCTCAAACTCCGCATCGCTCAATTTTCCGTCAATATCCTTCAAGATTTGTTTAGAGCTATCATCAATTCCGTTAACGACCTCATGTCAACCTTCTTAAGATAGCGAAGGAACTCCTGGGCGTCTTGATGGACATAACACATGAATAGACGGGAAAACTTTCGAAGTTGAACTGCTAGAAACTGAATTGGATATGGCAGACCTTTTGAGTTTGGGAGAAGTCGATAATCCCAGAACTTTTTCATATTTATCTGAATCTTCTGAGATAATCGGGAAATGCCCAGTTCACTCCATTTTGGGTGAATCCTACTTGATAATTCATTCCTTTACTCAAAAATTGATTTTTAAACCCGAGCATGAACCTTCTGTACACCCTGTAGAGCGAAATCCTGAGCCAACATTCTCGATTTTTCCTCTCGAACGCATGTTAACCAGAACTCTGCATGCTAATCGCGTGCAGATAGAATTCAACTATCGAGAAACATTTCGAAACGGTTAATGGATATAAAGGAGCTTTCATTAGATGCAGCAATATCATAAGAAGGTGCTTGTGAGTGCGTCTTCGTTATCGGCGCAATAAAATCGGTACAAAATGAGTGTGTTTGATGTGGATGTGCGTTTATTTTTTCTTTTTTGGATTTATGTAACGACGTGCAGCTGGAATGCTACTGGCTCGGATTTTCTCGAAAGACGGGAAGGCATGAATAACACCTGGAATATGTTGCTGCTTCATTTGTAGTAAATACATTTCTACCAGATCACGTCTACAGGGTGTCCCATCGAAAACGGTCCAGAAAGATTTACAGCTTGGCATGTGAAAACTAAAAAACTCTTCGCACTCGTATACTTTCGTTTCCCTGATCGATAGATCATAGTCATCTTCATATTCATCAGGATGGAAATTTTTTCCCTTACCCTTTCAGCTTACATTCGTCAGGGGGACAAATGGTTCATAACATAAGGTGTTTTGGTAGCGACATGAAAG